GTGAAGACAGCGACGTTGGCGATGAACGCGGTGACTGTCTCTTATACACATCTAGATGTGTATAAGACCCCAATCGAAGACCTGTCCACCCCCACGATGACCTGTCCACCACGACCATGTTTAAAACGAAAACAAAATAAAAAATAACCGCCAAACCAACCCTGCCATTCCCATCTCCCATCTCTCCCATCTCCCATCTATCCCATCTATCCCATCTTTACCATCATCAACACCGAAAACTTTTCGGCAACAACCTCCCTTCACGCCACACCCACCAGCATCCTGCTTGTTCGTGACCACACCGTGGCGGCTACGAAATCGGACTGCCACCCATGATGTATGTACACAAAGGGGATGATGGTGGGTCTGCCGTCGAAGAACAAGCGACGGTAGAGCAGCGTCACGCGAGGAAAAACAACATAAACGACGAAAACGCGTCATCGACCCCGCCCGCTTCCCTCTTCGGCGCCTTTCCCGTCGTCTTCGTCTTCCGGGGGGCCTGTGCCCAGCCAATCCACCTTCTTCGCCTCCATCGGGGAAGGCAGCGTGGCGTCGTGTGAGAACTTGACACCGATGGACGCCCAGTCGGGAACATACATCGGAGGGTCGATGAAAGTGATGGGGGGACTCGCCAACTTGTCGGTGATGACAGTCGCAGTTTGCACGATGTGTCGATGCGCGTCGAAGCAGCGATGCATGGATGCGATGAGCGTCGGCTTCGCCATGAGTTGGACGAAAACCCACGCGTCGTTATGCGCGCGATGATCGTCACCCGCCATCCGCATGAGCCACATGGTCGCCGCGAGCATCATCCGCATCGCGTCGGCCTTGGTCTTCAACCTTTCGTGCGATACACGACCGCCATCCGTCACCTCCGCAATGATGACAGCGCTCGTGAAAGCCCCCACCAGTCGCTGGATGCTCGCCTCCTGATAAGCCGCCAAGCGGTCGTCCTCATCCTTGTCTTCGACGTCGGCGCCCACGAACCACAATGGCAGCTTCATATCCATGTCGAGCGTGTAGTGGATTACCATGGGGCTCACACAATAATGCCAGTCCTCCCCCATCCACATCGCGCGAGCGATGTCAATGGCCGCGTGGTTCGGTGCGTACTGGTACGCCGCGTGGTACCCCCGTTGCCTGTTCTGAGACTTGAAGACCCACCCGTGTATCACCCGCAAAGCGATCCCCTGAACCTTCACCGCCCTCTCCTTCGCAGC